AGAGAGAGAGAGAGCAACGGGAAACATTGAGCATAGAGGGATCTTTTGTTCAACATTTGACCATCTCGGTCGAGCGCATGAAGCGAAATGATTGTGCTTTCGTATATTTTAGTAACCCAAACCTAAAAGTGAGGAGCCGAGCGAATACGAAGTTGTCTGGGGTGTTAACGCTCGAAAAAAAAGTGTGCAAAACGCTTTACACTACGTGTCCGGTCTATGTGTTCTCTGGTTAGTGATATAACCTAAATATAACAGAGACTGTGGTTTGAACCGCCACAAATCTATTTCAGTTTTGGCAACATAGTTTCGAAAAGTGAGGTGGCGTAGTGAGTAGCTGCGTAACGCCCGTTCGAGACGTTAATTTTTAATTTTTTTAATTGTTTCAATATATTTTTATTTTTTATTAAATTAGTTTCGTATTCCATTTATATTTTTAAATACATCGAAATTAAAATTTTAGCTATACTAAATGAGCATTTTTACTAGTTGGGATCAGGATAGTATCTAGTCGAGCACTCTCGACTAGAGTTTTCTCACTTGTTTAATTTATAAATTCTCATAATTTTGTCCACTCCGCAGTGCAGCCCTAGCGCTGTGCTGCTAGCTGCGCAGTCAGCAGAGCGCGTGATAATACGTCCGTGGTGATGTGCTTGTATGGATGTGTGTATAAAAGAAGTACAGAATGAGTAGAATATTAGCTTAGAGGGTTCAGGGTATCTCCCAGTCGAGCAGTCTCGACTGGAGCTTTCTTACTTATTCAATCTACAATTTAGCATGTAAATTTTTTAATTTCAATGAAAACCTAATATGCACTGCTGTTACGGGCGTTTAATAAGTAGCCAAACGTTTTATAAAATATTTGTCATTTTAGAAACACATTTGGTTATTATTTTGCAACTGACTTGCAACTAAAAATTTAATTTATTTATTTATTTATTTATTTATTTCTTAAAGCTATTGACAAAAACGAAAGTCATTTTAAATTAAAAAGCCTAAAAAAAAGTGCAGGATATAATTTCAATAGTAACACCGACTCGATGGGGGTATTTTGTTTGCCAGTCTGGCCAGCTACGCCCACGTCTCACAGCCGAATATGGTCAGTAATACATATATATAGCAAAAATCATATTGAATACCTGTTATAAAAATATAATATAAAATAAAACAAAGCCATTTTACCCTAATCTTATATTTTCGATGGGTATGAAATATATAACTAGTAGGCCTTATGTGACAAACGAAAATTAAATGTACAAAAATTTTGTTCGTCTTTAAATTATATATTTTCTTGGAATAAAATGAGAGTGACACAATTTCTTTTTTTGATTAGCTTGGCAAATGTGACGGCCTTTATTAGGTACGAGAACCCATACGTGTTTGTTAATCGCGTCTATGTGAATCACACCATCTTCGTTATTGTAACGCTTCAGTCTCTTAGAGGTGTGTGGTTTCTAACCAAAGTTAGTATAGAAGAACGCATAATTGATTATTTTCAAACCAATGCAAGCGAGTACCGTGAACAACTTCTATGGTATCATACAGCAAGCTTAAAACAAACTCTTAACTTCTATGGTATATTCACCCAAAAGAATCTTCCCTATCATGAATGCTTTTATCATGTTTCAAGAGCAAATTTTTTCAAAAGTGGCTTTCATAATGTTTCTGTCTTGATTACAACGATTGGGATTACATCAGACAAGCTCAGATCTTCGAGTTATACATACATTGATTTGGATGAAAATGTACGTTGTGAGCCACAATTTAGTATACCGCAGTGCGTAAATGCAGATTATCCAGTGCACTATGAAGTTTCTGACATAATTGTGCTTCGGGCAATGTATACCCGGCGTTGTCCCATGGATATATTTACTCAGTATTACTGGACTGTGCATGATAGCACAGAGCACCGTAAGATGCAAACAAAAATAATTAATTAAAATATCAAATAATAAAGAATTTAATTTAGAGCTTTTAGGCTATTTGGGAGGAACTTCAAAGCCAGAACTAAAAATTGGACGATATAAACTTAATATTCTGTATCAGTCTCAGTTAAACCGAATGGTAATGGTGCGCTTAAATGCACGAATTGTCGGACGCCGCATTCCACTTGTAGCAAGAGTAAGTTATAAAAAAAATACGGGTGTATAATTTAAGAGCTAATTTTTTTCACTTAGTGTTACATTGCTCTTGCTCCTCAACGCTTATATGCTATCATACGTGGAGGTCCATCACGTAAGGTATTTACGGGTAATTCAATTACCATTGATGGAAGCCACAGCCGTGACCTTTCATTGCCAAAAAACGCTAAGCAGCTGCTTTTATTTGAATGGCTGTGTGATTCTGCAATAAATATAGACAAAGTCTGTAAGCTCCAAATGGGAAAAGGTATGGTCTGTTTAAATATTTATAACATGGGCATAACGAAGCTCTCAAAATTTAATTCCAGGTCCTGCTTTCACGATTCCACCGTTTACTCAACAAGGCGAACAGTCAATTAGGTTTATTTTAAATATACGTTCCACATTTGATCTTCTTCGGTCATCGGTTGCTATGCAAACCATATTATTCTCATCATACCCCCGACTTTACATCGATGTAATTATTAAGTGCGTAACAAACTGCAAAGGAAATAGGTTTTCCAATTCTTCTCATGTTCACCTTAAGGCCCATTGTCTTTCGTGCAAATCGATGAAAATTACTAAGTGGATGTGGACCGTCGACCATAATTTAGTGAGCTCATCGAAAAGGCTTTTATATTATGTGTCAAATAAAACGTCTATTATAGTATACTTAAATATGGAGGCTATTCATAGATATAAACCATCGTCAAAATACCAAGGATCCTCCAGTCTGCGTCTTGAAAGAAATTATGGTCCTGTACATACCGCTTGTTACGTAAGCCCACTTGACGGTGAAGCAATCAAAACGTTATTCTCTATTAAGTGTACTAATGAGAATGCTTTATATAAGCCTTTGAAGTACTGTTTAAGCGTTAATAGCTTGCTGATTACAGAATGTAGCACTGATCAGTTGATTATTTCACGATTACCTGCAGCTTCACATATAGAGGTCCAGGTATATAATATTTCGGCTTTTCTGATAGACGTGATGCACGTAATGCATTTCTATTTACTTTTTATATCCTGAACACATTGAATTAATCATTGCGACACACTGAATTTGTCCGTCCGTATGTATGAACGCGTCGATCGATCTCAGAAGATATAAGAGCTAGAAACTTTAATTGTTTTTTCCTAGGTCAGTATATACCACGCGAATTTCGAGTTTGTTTCAAAAATTTATAACTCTTTCCAGTATTTTTGTTATAAAATCATTTCTGCTATATCTTTAGAGCTGGAGCCAAATTTTAAATGTCGATTCATATGTATTTTATATAATTTCGATTTTGTTATCGTATTTCAAATACTAGAGACTTGTGCTTTAGAGCGCATGGCAATATTATAATCACGATCTGAAACTTTCATGAAGATAGTCCATCGACGGGAAAAATTATTAATAAATTAAGCTCCTGTAGTATCTAGTTATACCTTGAGCCCATTGAATATGGGAAATCAGGGTATTATGGTTTTGTTGAAATGTATGTAACAGGCAGAAGGAGGCGTGACAAACCCATCAAAGTATATATGTATATTCTTGAGCGGGGCGACGAGCTGAGTCGATTTAGTCTGTCCGTCTGTCCGTATGTTTGAACGCGTAGCAAATATAAATTTATTATCGATTTCCTTCAAAAATCGATAACTGGTCCGGTTTAGGGTGACCATCTGGGCCGGAGCCAATTCTTGGACTGTCAATAACTACCAAAAGAGCCTTAAATTTTTATACCCTGAATCCATCTTAAATGGGACATCAGGTTTTGTTGAAATGTATGTAACAGGCAGAAGGAGGCGTGGCAGACCCCACAAAGTATATATATTCTTGATCAGGGTGACGAGCTGAGTCGATTTAGCCGTGTCCGTCTGTCTGTCTGTCCATCCGTCCGTCTGTCCGTATGTATGAACGCGTGATTTCAGAAGATATAAGAGCTAGAGACTTCAAATTAAATGTCCGTATTTACAGCGCGGATATCGAGTTTATCACTAAAAATCGATAACCCATCCCGATCTTTTTTTATCGATAAAAAACCTTATTGACAAGCAGTTATAAAATTATATCTCCTACACCTTTATTGCTAGAGTCTCACCCTTATCTTCACCCCCTCACCATCACTTTTGTAAAAAGCGTATTTCAAATACTAGAGACTTGTGCTTTGGCAAATACATGCATATCCATATTATAATCATAATCTAATTTTATTATCGATCAAAAACCTTATCGAAAGCTAGTTATTTGATTATATCTCCTACACCTTTAGAGGTAGAGCTTCCAAATTTTAAATGTAGAATTAAATGTATTTTATATAATTTCGATTGTTGTTGTAATTTACCCCCACCCCTATATTCACCCCCTCACCATCACCTTTGCAAAAGGCTTATAAGTACTAGAGACTTGTGCTTTGGAATATACATACATTTGAACATTATGAATATGTTCTGAAAGTTTCATTAAGATTGTACGTCTAGAAATTAAATTATTCAAGAAATAAATTCTTATAATGTTGCCCACACTGCAGCGCAGCCCAAACACAGTCACTGCTTACTGCGCGGTTAGCAGAGCGCGTTCTAATACGTGCGTGTGTATGTATGTGTGCCGACTAGAGTCTAGATCACACGGACCTAGGAAAAAAATTTCATGTCTCTAGCTCTTATATCTTCTGAGATCGACGCGTTCATACATACGGACGGACAGACAGACGGACAGGGCCAAATCGAATTTGCTCGTCTCCCTGATCAAGAATATATATACTTTGTAGGGTCTGCCACGCCTCCTTCTGCCTGTTACATACATTTCAACAAAACCATTATACCCTGATTTCCCATTTTCAATGGGTTCAGGGTATAAAAAGCGTATTTCAAATACTAGAGATTAGTGCTTTGGAGAATGCACGCATTTCAATGTTACTTCCACAAGAAAATTATTTAACAATTAAGTTCCCATACTAAGGTCTCCCTGCAGCCCATGCGTGTTTATACGTGCGTTCGTATGACTGTGTGTGTGTATATATGTACATATGTATATGCATGTGTTGTATCTTGTGTAAAAAGACGCGAAGAATTATTTAAATATCAGTTGCTCGAAGGGTTCAGGGGATCTCGTAGTCGAGCAGTCTCGACTAGAGCTTTCTTACTTGTTTTTTAGGGATGTGGGTGGAATTGACCAGGAAGATACATTCATTCAAGCGAATTTAAACTTTCAATATATTTATTTCTTTGCAGGTGTGCGATAATTTGGATATATGCATCATTAAAAATATTGGTGTAAATGTACGTCAAGCTTTCATTGCAGACACAGAGGTTGCAGTTTTTAATTTTCTCAATCGTGTTCGCTATTGGCTAAAGTATGCTGACTGGTCCATGTCTTTCGCAATGCTTGATCAGATAATACTTCGAATAAATTCAAAGGAGCGTCTTCTTGTTTTCACAGAGGCACTCGCCGTGTATCAGCCACAAACTCCTGTACAATTAGCTCACCTTGTGCAGATTTTAATGAAAATATTAGATCATATTATACCTTTGGATGATATGAAAGTCAATGTGCTTGCTCGAATTCTTCATATTATAGAATCAACTTTCAAAATAGTTATTGCTAATGCTGAGCAAAATACACTTATGGATTGCTACTATAAAAAGATGGTGGAAGCTATGTTTGAAATTCTTGATAAATTTGCTACTGAATGGGAGTATATTCCGAAATCACAGTGCCGAGCAGAATCTGAGTCCTGCCTAAATGTAGACAACTTTCGTAATAGACTAGAACAAATGTCTACCTTGAATCCACAGGTACTAGAACATATAAATAACTGGTTGCATGCACATTGGAAACTGAATAATTGTTTATTTTATATGGGTATGGGCATGGCGCGACGCATACATCCAGATGAAAATGCAAAAAAAAAAGACTGTCGAACCTTTTTAATGACAATGGAGAGTTTTGATCTAGATTTAGAGCGCGCATTGGTGATTAAATCCGCAGATGCGATGCATACACTAATTTTTACAGAAAAGTTGTTGCAAGAGTTGCGTCACTTACTGCGAAATGATGAAGTTCTTATCTCTATTAGAAGCCATAAACATAGTCAGTACTGGTGGTATCCTGAGCAAGATTCACGGACACAAGTACTAGTTGTAAATGCTTATACATCTACAGCTATCTTGGAGAAAACACAGCAGCTGTCTGAGCCATTTCAATATATATCCAAACTCACAACTAAATCCTGTACTTATCAATATTGTAAGGGTCGACGTCGAAGACGAAAGAGTATTGAATTTGATGATCCTGTAGAAGATGTCGAAAATGTCATACACGATAACGTTGTAAGTTCCAAAGAGGTTCGCATGTATCGTACAGAACTTTATGGCCATTCTGTGCTTGGGGTTACTTTTACAAAGGCTGATATAGACTACCGTGTTTTGCTTCATATGACAAACAACCCACAGCTGAATGATATTGAAACAAAAAATACAACGTGCTTGGTGAAATCGGGAAGTAAACCAACAGCTTTATTACTTAGAAATTTATGTAAGGAAGCACGACCAGTCTATATATATATTCGTGCTGAAAATATATTAAGGAATTGGGATGCGTTTCGTGAAACAGGTGCTTACTATACATTCTTCACTGAAATGCGTAGTTGTCGAATTTGGAAATTTGCACGGCCAGAACCCAGCTGGCAGACTATTCTATGCATTCCCGAAATGAATAAAAGTGTTAGCAATGGTATCCACTGCCGTTGTAATTTCATTAGCGACCTTGACGCTGATGCCAAACCAATTATTGCTGTCCGAATGAATCTTAAATGTCACTTGGAGCGCCCAGTGGTCGGACGTAATTACGAAATTATCATTTGCTATATTGTAATCCCAATAGTGGCAATAGCGTTTCTTTTAATTCAAATGCACAGAGCAGCGTTCTGGGACAAGCCCTTATATTTGGAGGACGTATACAGTGGCGAGCTTTGTCGCTGTGGTGACATAATAATCCGAATTTCATTTGGTGGTCGTTATCACTCTGGATCTTCAGCAAACATATTTCTTTTATTGCAGTCTTCTCGAGGCAAAAGGGAGATATTCGTTCATCAAGATCCAGTTAAAACGGCTTTTAATCGCAACTGCACGATTTTTTTGCGACTTGATAGAGAATTTGTGCAGTTGCCAGTGCGTCTTGCTCTCGGTCATGATAACACTGGCACTCATCCACATTATTTTTGTCGCAGTATAGTTATTACTGACATATTAACGGAGAAAACACAACACTTTCGTATTAATCGGTGGGTGCGTACATCGCCTGGGACAGGAAGTAAAATGCATTTGGAGTCAACTATGGTTCTGGATTTCGCAACAGCTTCTCCAAAGTATATATATCGATGGCCATCCCGATTTGCGATTGCTTTTGAGCTATGCATGGGAAAGTGGTATTTATTTCAATCTATAATAGGTCCATGGCGTTTCGGAATAAATCGCAATTCCTTAAGCAGATGGGAACGTAGTTGTATATATGTGGGTAAAAATTTTGTAGCAATATGCATAGTTATCATATTCTTTGGACGTGCCGAGCCAATATTATGTGACCCAAGTCCAAAACGGTATAATGATTTTAATATTGTGGTCTGGCTTTGTCTTATATGTTTAACTGCAAGCTGTATAACTGAAATTCTTATGATTATATTTCTTAGAATGTTATCAAAATATAATTAGAAAAATATCTTAAATTAATGTAGTTCTATACTCGTTGAAACAAAACAAGATCGCAAAAAAAAAAGTAAGAAAGCTCTAGTCGAGACTACTCGACTACGAGATCCCCTGAACCCTTGGAGCAATAGATATTTCAATAATTTTTCGCGTCTTTCAGCTTACACAAGGCATACATACACACACACGCATACAGACACACATACACACAAACACACGCATACACACAAACGCATACATACACACACATACATACACACACANGATATGTTACTCAAAGCGGCGATATATCGATATCGACAAAAGTCAATCGATATATCATAAAAATTAAAGTCCATCGATATAATCGATGGTTGCATCGATGGTTTCCCAGCTCTACATTCAACCATTGCTGTTTTATTTTGATTTTAAAGCCATACGGGGTAGTTTAGTAACCCCTTTGTGTGCTTTTTTGCTATTCATTCAGCCCATTCGGGCGCGCCGGCTAACTTAGTTAGCAGTTGCAATATATGTACAAATATGTAGACAATACAAAAATAATAACGACTGATAGGTTTTCTTTTCTTTTGTTCATATTCTTCTCCTATGGGGAGAACGGAGGATTAAATCCCTTGGCTGCCTTCTGTTGAGCCTCCTTGGAGTTCGACTTACTGTTAGCATATTTGCTARCCGATTTTTGTGSCGCTCCAACCGGTCATTGTACCGACTCGAGTGCTGGTTTATTGTATCAAAGACAGTGGCTAGTTTCAGTTTTATGGTGTTTCTAACAAACCACTGACATCCGGTAACCAATCTCGTGATTTTCTGGGGTGTTCTGGGTGGTCTGAATACGACGAATTTGGCTATSGCAAGCCAGTCCCCAAATTTGGCCCCATATCTCCATATTGGCGCTATAATCTGTTTGTAAATTGTCACCTTATTAGTAGTGAGTGACAATTTACAGTGCGAGCAGAGAAGCCAATAATGCTTCACTGCCGCTCGTAAGCGCATTGTAATCGCCGTAACGTGCTTGGAAAAAGGTGAGCCTGCGATCCAGTATCACTCCTAGATATTTGGCATCATTCGCCTGCGGCACTGGATCCAGTGATGTCATTTTTTTCTGAGCAGAAAAAGCTGGATCAAGGAAAAAAAAATGCTGGATTCAAGGGAAAAAGGTTGACAAAAAAGCTGATTTTAATTACATATGTATATGAATACCAAACTATAGGTATTTTTATTAAACATAAAGCATATCCTTGATTATATTAAATCCAATAAATCATCAATGCATTTTTCCACATCGTTTGGATAGTAATCCTTCTCTTTTATTGATTTTAGTCGGCTGCCTGGTAGTTCATAATTGAAGCAGCACTTATTTTGTCGATGTAGTCCATATCTGAAATATAAAAAAAATTAATTTCGAGCTTAAAAATATATATTTAAATATGGACCTTATGGTTAAAATAGCGTTCAACGTATCAACGTGTAGTCTATTTCTAAGCTTTGTTTTCACCAAATTTACTTGGCTGAATACCCGCTCTACCTCGGCATTCGACCAAGGCAAAGAAAACATTTGCAGAGCAACTGAAGCCAAATCATAAAAGTGGCAGTTTCCTCCAGAATCCCGGTATTTGAGAACTTCACTCCAGAATTTTACTGTTTCATCGACATTGTCCCATTGTACCAGGGAAATGCGATTGTAGTCTCGTTCAATCTGGTCGATGTTGGGAGTATTAAAGTACTCAAGAATTTGAATGATGCTCCTTTTTTATTTTTTAAAACATTCTCAACAGAAAAAGCATCAATCTGTTTTAAAATATTAAAATTGTCCGGTAACCTGAAATTTAAAAAAAAAATTTATTTATAACAAATATAGAAGAATTTAGAAAATATTTACCTTTGCTTCAACTGTTTGACCAGCTCTACTACAAAACTCGCACAGCATTCTCTAATTTCTTTTTCTTCAATGGCTTCAATTTTCACTGCTTTGAGTTCTTGCTCAAATTCATAGCCGAGATATAAATCGGTTTTGACATGTTCTTCAAAATCGTCATTAATAATGTCAACTTCATTATTAGGAGGAAATTTTTTATCTCTTAATGACCTGATAGCGAATACAAGATCATTTAAAAGCTTTGTCGCATTAACCGAATTGCTTTGAAAGCATTTGTTGACATTTTGCATATCTAAAGCAAGTATAAATGTATTTTAGTGTCACAAAACGATTCATACCGAATTTTAGCTGTTTTGCATTTCTTTTGCATATCAGCAATTCCAACGTGAGTTTTGAGCTCATGCCACTGGTTTAAAATTCGTGTAACTGCCATTTCAATGGACAACCATCTAGTATCACAAACCCTTGGAATTTTAAGCGGAGCCTTTTGGAAAAAAAATATGCAAATTAATTTTTTGTAATATTTTTCAATGTTTGGGACAATCACTTACATTACACACTTGATATAGGTAAGCAATCACTTCGCATTAGTAAAAACTAAATTCTTGGAACGATTTAGAAATATTAATACATAAAAAGGGTGATTACACACATAAAAAACAGACATATTCATTTGTACTAAATATACCTTTTCGTTATTAATACATTCGTATATTTTTTATATATCGACTGCCGAATCGAGCTTTTTGAAAACCAATTGTAGGTTTCATAAATTAAAAATTCCAAATCGTCTGGAAAAAAATGCTTACAAGCGTAGTTCACAGCCAATTGTACGGAGTGACAAACGCATTTAATTAATATAAGAGATGGTACATCTTTCTTTAATTGTGTGTAAACGCTGTTCTTGTTGCCAATCATCACACTTGCGTTATCTGTTCCAATGCCGATTAATTTATTTATGTCGAGTTTCAAACGTTTTAATTCTTGTCTGAGACCGTTTGCAATGGACAATGCGTCTCCACCTTCTAGTTGAACCAAGCTTAAAAATGTAGAAACTACTACTCCACATTCTACAGAAAAGTAATTAATTACCACACCTAAACATTAATTTGGAATAATATAAACATGTATAGACATTAACGAAGTGACATTTTAAACAATTAAAAATACATATATGTACATATGTTTTTATATAAATTTCTTACCAAGTAATTTTGTTACACTAACATCTGTGGATTCATCCAAAAGTAAACTAAATTTGGAATCGTCAATGTCATTATGTAGGTCTTGATTAAAATGAGGAGCCAATGAGTTTTTAATTATGTATGTACATTTTGTGCGGTGCAGTTTAATTTTCGACGCGGTACTGCTGTCATCGAACTTTTTTTGGCAAATGTCACTTAAATGGTTCACAGGGGCGATTGCGCTATGCTGGGCACCAAATAGACAAAGCGCTGCCTCCTGCTCAATTGTCTTTGTGGGCAATTGAACAAAAGATAATTTGTTTTTTTGCACATAGCCATCTATTGAGCCTGCGTGCTTTTTTGTAGCCGCATGCGCTTGCAAGTCACTTAATTTGGCAGTTATTGTGCATTTGCAATAACTGCAATACGCCCGTGTTGCGTCTGTGGGGTCCTTCCTTAGCCAATCCTTGAATTCTGTGGCCCGCAGCCACACATCTCGCACTTTTTGCTTGTAAACTTCCTTCGGCATGATTTACTACGCAAACGAATTTCACAATGTTAGAGAAGATAACGCGCCAATATCGGTATGTATTTTTAAGAGCAGGGTACTCGATTTAAGTAAATATCGATACTTTACGTAAAATATATTATTAACATATAAATCGTTAAAACAGCTGTAAAAATTTAGAAAAAAATTACTTTGAAAAAAAGCGATTTGAATTTGCTAAAAAAGCTGGAATTCCCGCTGCCCGCTGTTTTCAAATTTTTCCCGCAATCGCACTTTTAAAAATAAAAAAGCCAAATCTGACGGCAAAAAAGCGGAAATGACATCACTGACTGGATCACCCTCCAGGAGCACGGCTGGCGGCGTTCTCCGCCTCAGCGTATAGCAAACATTGACTGATTTGCTGTTGTTGATGGCAATATTCCATCGCCTTGCCCAGTCTGCAAGTTTTGTTGCATAATCTTGGATGCGATCAGCTGCATCGTATTCGCATCGGAACCTATATGTGATGCACACGTCATCGGCGAAGGTGGCCAGCATTGATGATCCATACAGGCTAATATCAGGCTGTGGCATATCGTGGCTATATAGGCAGTATAACAGCGGGCCAAGGACACTACCCTGTGGTACTCCAGCTACAACATCATCTTCTGTGGATAACGCCGTATGAAAGCGCACCGCGAATCGCCGTCCCTTGAGGTATGACCTGAGCAGTCCAAAATATGGCGCAGGAAAAGTCCGTTTGATTTTGAGCAGTGTTCCGGCGTGCCACACTCGATCGAACGCCTCCCGGATGTCCAGATAGAGTNAAAAAAAATGATAATGCTGTCCAATTTATTTATTTTTTTGATGGTTTGTATATATATTTCTAAAGTAATAGCAAATAAAAAGAAGTATTAAAAATGTATTGAAATTCCTTAAAATTGAGCGAAAATAACCATACATCGAATAGAACGGGCTTACACTATCTTAAAAAAAAAATTTTTTTAATACTTTCACTTAATGAAAAAATTTTTTTCTACATTAATTCTGATGTGTATATAATTTATCTACAAAACAAAAGTATCCGTACAAAAATAGCATCATTTTTGCAGAAGTTATTAATTAATCGCCGCTAAATCAGCCGTTTCGCCCACTGTGCACTGCTGCTTACACAAGAAACAAAACATTCACACATACGCACGCACGGATAAAGACGCATTGGCTGCAGTGTGCCTACTATGGGAACTTAATTGCTTAATAACTTTTCTTGAACTTTTTTTATGGACATTAAAAAAATCAAGCCTCTAGCTCTTTTGTCTTCTTAAATCGACGCGTTTATACATACGGACAAACAGACGGACAGAGCTAAATCGACTAAGCTCGTCGCCCTGATCAAGAATATACTTTTATTAATGGCTTCAGGGTATAAAAACTTTAATGGCTATATTTCTGGCTATTCTTGAATTTGATCTAGCCTTTTCCAGCAGGTTTGAAAGGGTAATTTAGCATTTTCTTGCCCAGAAAAGTTGGCAGCACTGCACTTAAGCCCAGCAGTGTATATACATACATACATATGTATAAACAACCATCGTTTTTTGCTTGTATATTTGACTGTTATGCAACACTTAAAATAATTTCAGAAATAAAATACATAGTTGTATAGGATTTCTGAAAACTAGCAATCGGATTTTTATAAAAATTGGATTGGAACAAATAATTACTTATAAAAGAATATATTTGATAAGTACTTGAAATCGATATTAAATAATCTCACTGTGGCGAAATATCGATATATGTTGCAACTGCAGCTGTCGGACTAACAAGTGAGTCATACATTAAGCCAGTACAATCGACTGAAACATAAAACAATATCTGAGTCAACAAAAATTATTAGACGTAAAATATTTTTAGTAGCGTTAGCAAAAAGCATCAAACTGGGTAACGACATGTCGACATCTGCAATGGAAAGTAAGTATAATAATGACTCCATTTAATCCTAAATAATAATCCACACCCATAAATTCTTTAGAACATCTTTTCAATTTGAAGTTCGCTGTGAAAGATCTAGAGCGCAATTCGAAAAAATGCGAAAAAGAGGAAAAACTAGAAAAAGCAAAAGCTAAAAAAGCCATACAAAAGGGTAATATGGATGTGGCTCGCATTCATGCTGAAAACGCCATACGACAAAAGAATCAGGCCGTAAATTACCTGAGGATGAGCGCTCGCGTAGATGCTGTTGCCAGTCGCGTGCAATCAGCGTTGACAACACGCAAAGTTACTAGCTCAATGGCTGGCGTAGTTAAAGCCATGGATGCTGCCATGAAAGGCATGAATCTAGAAAAAATTTCGTCACTTATGGAAAAATTCGAATCACAATTTGAAGACTTGGATGTACAAAGCTCAGTAATGGAGGGAACTATGTCCGATACTGTGACTACGTCGGTGCCACAAGGAGATGTTGATAATTTATTGCAAGAGGTCGCCGACGAAGCAGGTCTTGAACTTAATATGGAGTTGCCGAGCGGTGTGCAAAGTTCTACCATTGGTGCCTCTACGCAAATCTCACAAGAACAGGATGAGTTAACACAGCGTCTTGCGCGTTTGCGACAAGCTGAGTAGTTTGGGATTTCAATCCCTTTTTCAAATCAATGTAGTCTTTAAATTTGTTTTTATTTATATAAGTACTCCAAATTATTGTAATTATTATAGCAGAAGCGCAATTCGAAGAAATTTTAAGCTGTAGCTATAGATAGTTGTGTCCGTATTTGAAGATTATTTGATTGGGGTTTCATACGCTGTTTTCTGGGTTTACGAGGTGTAGTATCTTTAACTTCGGCTGCTGTATTTGAAACTACGTGTTTACTTTTAGGTTTTGGTCCACGACGTTTTTGTTCAGGCTTTCCCTTGGGTTGTGGTACCATAATTGGTATCGAACGCCAATTATCACCATATTTGTCCAGTTTATTTTTTAATAACATGACGTCGTATGTTCTTCGGCGTAGTAACTTTTTTATTTCATTTACTCTGTAATTTTTAACGCCGAATTTCAAATTTGAAAGTAATAAAATGAGTCGTTGGTTATTCTTACCTCATAATGCTGCGTTCATTTTCTGTTTGTATTTGCAGACATTTAGTGTATATTTTCTCTGTTAAATGTTTGTAAGTCTCATATTTTTTATTAAGCGTCATTTCATTTATACGTGCATGCAGATGTTTTGCAGAAATCAGGAAGGGTTGCAAAATCAACGATATATTACATATCGTAAATGTTTTGATGGCCTCTACCATAAATAGTACCATCACTAACCTCAAAAGACCGAGCCGAGCAAATACGAAGTTGTCTGGTCTCTTAAAAAATTGCGTCGTTGAACAAAATTGTACTACATGTCCACGATTGTGTCTTTTTATAGGGCTACATGTCTAGCCTATGTGTTCTCTGGCTAGTGGTGTTACTTTAATAAATAAAAGCTACAATATATTTTTTTATATATCGATTAGTCATCTCACTGTCATATCGATAGTATTAAGTCAATTTACTCATCTAAAATTGAGTCGATTTTTGTGAAGCCGCTTGCTTCTTTGAATAAGACATTTTGTGACCTACAAAAAGTGAACATTACAAACACCACTCGATAATGTAGTATATGGTAAAAGAATTACCAAATAAAATATTCAACGTGATTGCTCAAACAATATGTCGTCAAATACAACCCACACGCATCTGAGTTCATCTGGAAGTGCATCTCAAATGGCAACAACTCAGGGTCACTTAACAGCCTCAGCCATATCATTAAATTTTCGAGAACTTATCAAGGAACCAAAGGGATTAGAGGATGCTGCAAACTACTTATTTCAGGGTCTTCTGGATGATGTAGTAGCGGGAATTTTTATAGAAATTCATCACTTACGGAAGACGGGAAATCTGACGGCTCTTGACGGAGTCGGGGAAGAAAATGCAGAATCTGCTTACAGAATTTGTGAGATGCCAAATCTAGATATATTCGGCATATCAACTGCAAAAAAACCAATGGACTGTACCTGTCCACATTGTGACAGGTTAGTAGCGGCGGCTCGATTTGCACCACACTTGGAGAAATGCATGGGCATGGGACGCATTTCATCACGTATTGCTAGTCGACGGTTGGCAACTAAAGAAGGCGCTACTGCCAGCTCTTCCTCAACTTCAACATACCTTCAGTCAGGTGGCAATACAGGCGGTACCGATGACGAAGATGATGTAGATTGGTCGTCAGATAAGCGTAAAAAGAAGTCGACCCAAAACTCTCGAAGCAACGGATCCAAAAAGAATAACGGGAAAATTTTCTAGCATGGCGTCGCTGATATTTATTGTCCCTTGTTATTAGCTCCATTGAATATAAATCAATACATTTTGAGAAACATGACACTTATTCTTCAGTTCCGTGAGTTTTGTAAACGTAAACGTAGTCTATCAGAAGATTGGGTTGTGTCCACGTTTCTTTAGTAGTATTAAAGCTTTCAAATTTATGTGGCCCCATAGGATCGTTATTTAAAAACCGTTTATGGTTAGACATAACAGTATCATCTGGGAAATTAACATTTCCGGCAGCAGACAGACCCAATACAATATAACACTAAAAATAAAAAAAAAAATTTGATTAAAATTAATGTAAAAAATAATAATCAGGTAATTTTTTAACAGAAAATAACTTTTTTAGCTAATAAAAAGTCATTTCAGTATAGTATATTGGTTCTTTTTTATACTTATATACTTTCCTGACATCACAATGTTTTACATACATACCTCTGAATTGAACACGTTAAGAACAGTTGCATTTGTAATCGTGCCATAAGTAATATTATCCACCTTGTAATGCGATCTTTGTGCCAATTTAAAGTGTAATTGTGAAAATCATGGCTTAGTTCACTGGTATTTCTTTCGGTATTTCTTGAAATTAACATATTCCGAGAACAGCGCTTCCAAAGAGTCGATCTTACTAATAGGAATTGAGTTCCTATTTTGCAATAGTTCATTGCTGCGAGTATATGCAATACGTAATTGATTAACAAAATTTTCTTCACTACGGTATTTTATCGGTTGCAATATCAAATCTAAGAAAATTGATTAAGAAATGTTGATCCATTCGAGTTTATCTATAGATCACACAATCATACTCACATGGATATAACCAATCGCCTATCGGCATCCTTGCACGTATTTCTACTCTACCATATTTGAATTTAAACTTTCCAAAAGTATGCAGTTTGGCTGAGTGCACAGCGGGCAACTTACATTAAAGTGGAATTTGTGGCACACAATCGTTTCCCAGAGTTGGATTAACTTTTCTGGATGTGCACCCATCTATAGTAAATGGTAAATTGTTCGTGTAGCTAACCCACTTTGGTACAATGTGCAAATATCCATATTTTATGTAATTAGCATTTTTGTTATTTAAAAAAGCCAAAAATTCACGATCATTTTCAGGATCATACATCCGAGATCTTATCTCATGTGTCCACTGGGAAAAAGTCTGATCAAAATCTTCTTTAACAAGTAAGAAAACTCTAGTCGAGACTGCTCGACTACGAGATCCCCTGAACCCTTGGAGCAATAAATATTTCAATAATTTTTCGCGTCTTTCAGCAGAAACACGCACACACACACGCACGTACGCACACACAGGCATACATACACACCACACGCATACAGACACAAATATACACACACACGCATACACACACACCACACGCATACAGACACAAATATACACACACACGCATACACACACAAACGCATACACACACACACACAAACACATACACACACAAGCACCCACGCATGGGCTGCAGTGTGCGCTTACTATGAGAACTTAATTGTTTAATAACTTTTTTTATGGACGTACGATCTTCATGAAACTTTCAAATTATGATTATAACATGAATATGCATGTAATTGCCAAAGCACAAGTCTCTAGTAAAGTATATACATATATTCTTGATCAGGGCGACGAGCTGAGTTGATTTGGCTCTGCCCGTCTGTCCGTATGTACGAACGCGTGGATTTCCGAAGATATAAGAGCTAGAGACTTCAAATTTTTTTTAAATATCCGTAATTACAGCGCGGATATCGACTTTATCATTAAAAATCGATAANTACTAAAAAATGTTTCTGACTTCATTTACAGCTATTATTTATAACTGTTGTATATTTATATAAAACGAAAACAAAAACCAATATTTGAAGCAACTTAAAAATAGATTCATTCATAATTTTCACAGCAGTAATAGGTAAATATGTAATAGAATGTAATATAAGATAAAAAAGAAATAAAAACAATATTCAAACTTAAAAGTATTTAAACAACTTAAACCGAAAATCTTCAACAAATATAATATTAATATTATTATTGCATTGATACTAAGTACTTATGAGGGAAAAATCCAAAATAAAATAACTAAAATTAAAATTTCTACAATTTACTTACGCGTTTGAGCTTTGAATTAGACTTGGGTAGCACATGAGTGAGTGAGTTCACTGAACTGAGCCACTGAGCTTGTTCTTTCAATATTATTCATTTTGGCACACTAGCTCGTATGGCTCATTTTGCGCTCTTCGGAATTGGCGTTCGCCAAATTACCGTTCACTTTTTGAATGTCAGACTATCGATAGACGAAAATAATATCGAGGTATCTCCGTTTTAGAAAACCATCGATAGTACCATCGATTGTTTTACATCCCTATGTGATGGCTAATCATTGTGTTCACCGTACCGTAAATGATCTTGTTCATTTCGGTTTACATTAATGAAATTGAACTATTTTGTTCTTTTCACTTGCTTTTAATGACGTCACAAATTTTGACATGCGCATTGAAATCGGAAAGTGAAAGACACTGTGAATGACTGATAAAAGAAAATATACATATCTAAACGTATGTACATACATTCATGCATGTATATATATTTTCATATATAAATAAGAGTACATATGTATGTATTTAGAAAATTTCGCTCTTTATTTGGTAAAGTACAATTTGAAACAGAACGATAACAAAATGTAAAGGAATTTTTTTAAATACCGAAAATTCATTACAGAGTACATGAGGCACATAACACCAACGCAATCCTGAAAATGTGAATGCAATCCACAATTGTAAGTTCCGCCGAAAGGTATACCTTAGATAATTTGTGGAAAATCGATAAGCCAAGTTTATTTGCTGTATCTGTAAATGTGAATGTTTTTGTAAATACATATGTCGAAATTAATGTTTAAAGGTGCTCAAAGTAAAAATATAAGGTTCAATATTGAAAATTGGTTATACAACTATGCGAATAATATTATATATATATTATTAAAATGTTATTCAAATATTGAAATTTCTGATTTATATACATATGTACATATGTAACAAGTAAAAACTCAATATACTCAATAATTTTTCAGATAAACTACTTAGGAGTGAATCACAGGCAGATAACTAAATATGTATCCCAATCCCCGACGCAATGATTTCACGGGATTAGGGGCGACCGGATCTGGAGCCGGAACAGTAGCCGCGGCCGGCGAAAACATTCCTGCCACAGTAGGATGTCAAAAGTCATTAAACTACCAGGCGCAGCTTTCGCTAAAATCGAATGGAGATGAGTCAATGATCGCAATAGCCGGTCGATTCAGTCCGCATCCGAATGAGATATACTTGGCTCAGTCTGGTAAGCTAACAATACCATTGGCCAAATTTGATGATACGCTAGTTAATGGCAGTCTGCCACCACCATCACCGGCTCCGCATAGCGATTGCTTTCCGACAAGTCTTAGTCAAAATCAAAATCAATCGAATTTTCATAGTAAAATCGGTATTTGCAACAGTAATGCAGCCAATCAACTACAACAGCTAAATCTAAATAATTTTCAACATCACGCCCACTCGCAATGTCATCCGTTGTCATCATCGAACTCGTCTTCGTCCCTCTGTACAAACAATTCCGTACTAAGCATGCAGCCCGACAGTTCGGCAAGTACTCACTATAAGCAGATTGACAAATATAGTATTCAGCAGCATTCAAGTGCTACACGTGCCATGTCGCCCAACACGAAATATCGCTATCGAGACTCGTCACAAAAACTGAAATTAATGGAAACAATAAACTTAGCAACAGTTGCAACAGCAACGTCTTCAGCTCAAATTCAAACTCCGACTTCAGCTTCGGCTTCGGCTTCAAACTCTGCATCGGGTACAGCTTCATCAATTGGAAGATATTTTATAACACCCAAGCAAGTGATGAAATGCGATTCATATGGTGCTTATTTGGGGCCAACGGTGCATACACCAGTGAAACGATATGTTCCAACACCACCCCCAGTTAGTGATATATACTCAGACTTGCCGGTAACGCCACCCTTGCTGCAATCACAATATGTGAATATACCATATAGTTATCGAACCAAGTGTTGTCACAATGATCACCAGCAAAGTGAAACTAGCCAGCTACAATCGAAAAGTGAGCAGACCTACAATATGACATCGACATCAACAACATCTACGAGCTGTCCATGCTCGTCCTCATCGCCAATCTCATCGTTTCCAACACCGCTAGCTGCAGCGAATGTTTGTTCACCAAATGTTGGATCTAATACAAAGGGTGTTGGAACGTGCAGCAAATTTCGATCGTCAGCAATTGATTCACGTTCCATTATCTGTAGTAATTCAGATGAGAGCGATGCCGTTATAACCTTACATTCGACAATGGCACAGAGCGAATCACAGCGTCAAGGCTTAACCCAAATTCAGGTTGCGAGTCAAGTTCAGGGTGAAGACACTGGCGGTACCTGTTTGCATTGCAATACAACGCGGCGCACAACGGGTGTGCATCAGACAACTCAGACAACTGGGCCAATTAGCCCAGTACCAGTGGGGCTGCCCATGTCATCGGATCTGGGTAAGCTAAAACTGCACGATCAGGAAATTTTATTGGCAGCTCAAGGCAATATTATTGCGTTGGATGCAAATTCTTCAGAAATATATTCGATGTCACAACAGCAACAATTGAAGATCAACGAAACCTTTCACCGTCAAACACAGCACCCACAGGAAATCTATCAGGCTGCTCAGCTTTCTAGCTCTCATCATTTGCAGCAGCTTCAGAATCTTCAGGGACAACCAGTCCCCATGCAACACAAACAGCAACAGCGTCAGCTTCAGCAGCAACAGCATCAGCAGCAACAGCAGCAGCAGCAACAGCAGCAGCAGTTGCAGCAAGTGATTCATCGACATTCATGCAAGAAACGTATAATAATTCATTTGAGAAGAGAAATTTCGCGTTTCTTTGGAGTGGAAGCGAGTACTGAAGCAACAGACTTTGCCATCTGGTATGGACGCCATCGACGTTTGGCAATCAGACGCTTCGGTCCATTGAACGAGCTAGAATTTAATGTGGACAATGGACGAGATGGAACTGTTATTGAGCCAAATGGGAATAGCAATAGTACTAACAATTACTATGCAACCGATCGTCCCGATATATTGCCAGCTCAAGATTCGCAGCATACGAATGTATCTGTTGGCACTTCTAGATGGCAAAAATGTTATGCCAGAAACGATTTTATTTCCAATGAATTTGTGGAACGAAAAGCTTCGGTGGCACATATGTTGATGACAGGTGTTAGCTATTTGATCAACGTATTCCAGATAGGGTCTGCGAATTTTGGGCACGCTATCAACATAAACCAGCGACGTCATCGTCAATGGTCGCGCAGTTTTGCCCCAATCCATGTGCATGGCAGAGAACTAGATATGGATGCTGTTGGAGATTGCAACATTAGCATTGCCGATAGCCTAGCTGCGTTGATCGATGACGAGGTCTTCTTTGATTATCCTTGCGATATCTCAAAGTCTCTAGTTAACGAGGAGAACACTGAACAAGCCAACAAACATAATGGAGTCATAGTTGGTGATAGTGTTGAGACCAACGTTGGCGTTTATATGGCTGAGCGACATCATAATGGTTGGCGCACCTCGGCTCTCAACGGCAATGGAAATGGGACCGATCTTCATTTGATGCCTGATCACTTGCCTCTCGGCGCCAGCAACAACAGTAGCAATCCTGTTCCATCTCTGTTGCGCGCCAATTTACCATCAAATTTGACATCAACATCAGCTATGAGTCGTGGGAACCGAATTACCCCTAAATTGCTCGATGGAGTTTTAGAGAACTCGCGCCGTCCACAAAGGCAACACATCAAATACTTGGCAATTAATGATTTGGACGATCGTTGCGATCATAGGCCCTTCTTTACATACTGGATAAATACGGTGCAAATTGCTGTGCTTTTACTATCAATTGTTTGCTATGGCATCGCACCGATAGGCTTTGGCAACGATCAAAAGACCGGACAGGTGCTGGTCACTAGTTTAAGTCTGCAAACGGTGCAGCACATCGAGCAACGAAATCTTTGGATAGGTCCTCGCAACAATGATCTTGTCCACATGGGTGCCAAATTTGCAGCCTGCATGCGGCGAGATGTTAAAGTAATGGAAGTTGTAACAAAAACCCGAAGACAGGAGCGTGAAACGGCCTGTTGTATACGGAATGATGATTCCGGCTGCGTGCAAAGCTCACAAGCGGATTGCTCTATACGGGGTCTTTATCCAACAGTAAGCATTAAACACAATTTACAATTTGTTTTTTATTAATAAATGTTTGCATTCGCTTTACTAGAAGTCCATATCCACTTGGAAAAAATGGTCACCTGGCGAATCGGGCCCCGGCGGACGAATATCAGGTTCAGTATGTGGTCTAGATCCAAAATTTTGCGATGCACCCGCTTCGATTGCTCCATACGAGTGGCCCGATGACATAACTAAATGGCCGATTTGCCGGAAAACTAATTCATTTTCTCAACGATATCGCTATAAAGATCACACGGCCGAGCATATGGTCTGTGAAGTGATCGGTCATCCCTGCTGTACCGGAGTCTATGGGGAATGTCGGATAACCACACGCGAGTATTGCGATTTCGTTAATGGATACTTTCATGAAGAAGCTTCTCTCTGTTCACAAGTAAATATGAGATATACCTTATATTTTAAAAGATATAAATACAGGTATATACATTTATTTTTTAAACTCATTAAAAAAAATTAAATGAGTATATTGGTTTTATATTCTTGCTGTCCATCCGTCCGTCCGTATACACGCAATTTATTTCGGGGCGTTTGAGACTAGAGACTTGAAATTTGGAACACATACTCGATCCCGTCACCAGGAGCGTGGTAAATTTGATCTGAAGATATAGTGATTTTTCAAATTCTGCTTTATTTTAGACACTATTGATGCTAGAGACATGAAATTTTTTGGTTGACCACACAAGTCCAAAAATCGAAAAATACCATGTATTTTCACATCCTTTGAGCGCAAGCATTCAAATTTTGCATTTAGATTACTGTTAGCTCGTTATTTTGATGAAAAATTACGTGCTGCAGCCACTAGGGGCGTGGCGATCGGCAATTGCAGTGCCAAATTGCGACATTTATATGCCTGTGCCATCTATATATATCATAGCTCGCAAATAACTGTTAACACTTTTTCGTTGTCTGCAAAAAAGTGTCTTTCAGTCAGTGTGTTTACAGTCAAAAAAAACTCAGACAGAAACTGTTTTTGTCGCGTCTGGCTTAGCTCTCTCGCGCTCTGAGGGAGATAGTTSTTTCTGTTTTCGTTTCCTCAASTCAAACACTGATCGTTTGCTTGAGTTAAATGAAGTAACGGTAAGTTGCTTTTGTATGGGTAATCACGCGCGATTGCTGCGTTCTTTTTGTATGTATGTATGCGTGTATTTAC